ACCCCTTCTTGAGAATAGTGGCTGGTGGACACTTGGCCAGAAGGCTGAGGAGAGGCCTCAAGCATCCTATGGGTGCTTGGCCAGATCATCTTTATGTTTCCTGAAGTCCTTTCCACCTTGAGTTGCTTGAGCTCACTGACATATATCCCCACCTGGTTTTAAAAAAGACTTGAGGTGGCTGTTAGATACATATAATAAGACAAAACATAAAATGGAGTAAAATGAGGAAACAGGTAGAGAAAAAGAAAAGGTAGGAAAAAAAGACAATATCAGATAAGTACATGAAAAAGGTACCACAAGATATAAGAGACAGACTATATATCTGGCTCTGAGCTTCCTGGTAGCTGCAGTGAAGAAGGACTTTCCCACCATGTCCATGAGATAAAAGCCAGCCAGCTGCCCAAGTGAAACACAGCCTTTCCTGATGCTGAGACCTAAAGATTTTTATCTTGGAAAACATCCCTGTGATGAACTAAATAGTAATGAAACTAGTACAGTCCATTCTGTTCTAACGCGGGCTCTGAAAGTGTGAATTTTTTCCAACAAGACTGATAGCTTCAGAAACAATTTGAGTGTAACACAAATTCTGTGTTTGCTTATGAGTGATTTTTATCAGCAAGAACACTAAGTTAAATGCAGGAAACCACACCCAACCAAAGGTCGCCACAAAGGAATACAGAAAAGGCACACACATGCACATGTCAGCTATCCACCCTGTTCCAACTAACCCTTTCCAACACCTCACAATAACTCACGAGCTGCTACCCTTTCAGTGCCCACTTCCACAAGCAAACATCAAGTCTTTTCCGAGGTCAAATACCGTATCTTTAATAGTAACATGCGTATTTCCTAACCACTGAACGTGTATAAGGCTGTGCTTCCATCTTTATTAAGTTCCTCGTTTCATGCATCACTGACAAAGCTTTTGAGTGTCCTGCCACCGATTCTGTTTTGCCAAAAGCCCTGAGGCTTTGACCGTAGTTTTGCATAGCATTTGTTTTCAAACACCCGTATGTCACATTACAATAGAAATGACTGTGTAGCTCTTTACTGCATTGTCCTTTGATCAAACCGGTGGCTTAATGAAAGAGACCCTTCCGTGGGAAGAGTGGGCCCACCTAGGCCAAAGCTGCGTGGGACTCTGACATTGCAGGCTGCAGGCAGACGGGCCTGGGGCCTAGGCGCTCAGTGCCTCACCTGCCCTGGAGGCCCCTGCGTGTGGAGGCACAGTATGATTTCCTCGGGCTGCTAGAATGATCACTCTGGCTGGCTTAAAAAAAGAAATAGATTATTCCACAGTTCTGGAGGCCAGAGGTTCAAAATGAAGGTGTCTGTCAGCAGGGCCTCACTCCCTTAAAATTTCCAGGGGAGGATCCTTCCTGCCTCTTCAAGCTTCTGGTGGCTGGAAGGACATCCAGTCATTGAACTTAGGGCCCACTGTGATATAGTAGGACCTCATCTTAACTAATTTCAAAGCTAAGTCAACTAGCTGCAAAGTCCGTTATCAATTAAGGTCACATTTTGAGGTTCTGGGCAGATGTGAATTTTGGAAGGACACAACTGGCACAAAATTTGGGGAGACAGAATTCCAGGTACCAACTGGAAGAAAGATGATCATTATCTTCTCGCAGCCGTCCCACATGCATCTTCCAGCAAGGGCTGCCAGAGGAGGATTTGGGTCCAGTCTGAGGGATTGCAAAAAGCTCAGGCTGGAACTCCTCTACTAGAGGGCAGGCAGGTCATCATACCCCTTCTTGGAAAAATGCCCCCAAGGTTTCCAAGTGTGAGGTGAAGGAGTAGGAAGCCAGCGCTTGCAGGTCCCAGAGATGTGGCATCATGTGCCATCCTGGAGGGAAGGGGCTGGGCAAGGTGAACCCAGAAAGCTCTAGCCCCCACTGGGCTGCCACACAGGCCAGCTCAGCCTACAGGTCAAGGGGTGGCCCAAGTCTGGAGGGGGAAGGGCAGCTCTTCTTCCAACCCTCCCAGGGTCTGTGGGCTCCTGGGAAGGATACCACCCCACCCCAGCCCCGTTATCACCTCACCCACAGAGCTGGCCCTGCCCACGCCCTCTTCATCTTGCCATCCAGCGGCACCACCACTTTCAGGACGTGTTCAATCTCTCCACTCCAGTGCTGCTGTCAGGGGCTCTCTTCACCCAGGACCTCTGGGACAGCCTGAGCCAGCACAAAGCCCCCTATGGCTGGCAGGGGCTCTCGCGCCAAGGTAACCCCACCCAGACCTCTGGCCTCGGCTGACCCTTCCTTCTGCTTTGGTCCTGGTGCAGCCAGGCCTCCCTGCCCTCCCAGCACTGGTGGAGGCCCCCCACCTACCCATACCCCTTTCCTCCCAGGGCCGGCCACCAGCTGCACTGCACTCCCCTTCAGGCATCACAGGGCCAGCAGGGTGTGGCTGCCCACCCATCAGCTCTCAACATCCTCGAGTCTCCCTGGCATGAAAGATGCCAGGGTCTGAAGGTGGCCGAGGACAGGGCTGTGGCTCACAGCCTGCTGATGGTTGCTAGTGTGGCAAACCGCCCACGTTAAATCTGCCCCTCCCTGCTCCCGTAGCCCTCAGATTATTTTATTTTGCATATACACAGTCTGGAGAGGACTAGTCATTCCAGTTCTTGAGGTGATCGCGGGCACAGTGAAACCCCCCTCCCCCTCCATCCTGTCGGTTCTCATCTCAGGGCCCCTCTGACATTTCACTCTCCTCCACCTCTGTGCCTCTTGGAGGGGCTGGGGCCATGGCTCAAGCGGGTGGGGTGGCAGCAACAGGCCTGGGAAGGCCCTGATGACCCACCGCACAGCTCTCCTCACAGCCTCACACCTTGTCTGCACCCACAGCCATCACCTCCACCCTGAGCCTCCTGAATGGCTCTGAGAGCGCCCGGCTGTTTGCGGCTTCCAGGCCGCCGCTTCGGGGCTGCATTCGGTGTGCGGTGGTGGGTAACGGAGGCATTCTGAATGGTTCCGGCCAGGGTTTGAACATCGATGCCCATGACTATGTGTTCAGGTATGCAGGACAGGGGCCAGGAGAGAGATGGGAGAGGAGCTGGGTGGAGTGGGTCCCCAGCCAGCCCCTAGTTGCTGGTGAGGGCGCTGGTCAGCGGTAGCGGGCAGACAGGAGAACACAAAGGCACGTGCACACACCCCACGCAGGGCCACATGCCAACGGGACCTGGAAGATGCCAGGGCCAGACGTGCCATTTCACAGGGCACCTCTTGAGGTCTGGAGGAGTGGGGACGGGGCTGGCAACCTGGCACTGGTGCTGCTCTGGGCAGAGGGAGTGGTCTGTAGAGCCATGGGGGCCGGTGTGGCGGATGGACGCGGAAACAGCAGGGCGGAACTACGAGGAGGCTGACGGGCCTCTGTTCGGACCAGACTCAATGGTGCTGTGATCAAAGGCTTTGAGAATGATGTCGGTACCAAGATCTCCTTCTACGGTTTCACTGTGAATACGATGAAGAACTCCCTCATCTCCTACTGGAACCTCGGCTTCACCTCTGTGCCACAAGGACAGGTAGGCTATGATGGGCATGCCCTGTCGTTGACAGTCGGTGCCCCTGTTCCTGAAACCCCGCGGTGAGGTCAGCCACAGGCTTCCCACGCCCTGGTGCAGTAGATGGAGAGGCATCAGGATGTGGGCTCACACGGTGACACCATCGAGGAGGAGCTGGGTGGGGGCGCCTCGCGACTTCAGGCAGCACGGGCCTCCTCTGGAGTGGCTAATGCTTACCAAAAGCTTACAGGGTGCCAGGCACTTCACATGTGCCACATCAGCCCCATTTTACTGGTGATACTAAGGGCAAAATTCACCATCAGATCCCACGGAGCTCACACCACACACAGGTGAAGGGTATTTATTGAGATGCCTGGTCGTCACAGCAGCCCATTCCCAGACGGCAGTGTGTCCAAGGCCACCACCCAGCTAGTCACCAAACCTAGGCCGCTCTGACTCAGGTTCTACAGTTGCTCCCATTTCCCCCCGCTGTCCGAGAGTGGTGATGTGCTCGGCCCAAGGCCCCACAGCAGCCGTGCTGGAGGCTGGGCTTCACAGAGGCAACCGCAGGCCCATCACAGGTAGGGGCAGGGGAGCTGGAACCTGAGCCCATCCACTGCCTCCAGGCTCATCCGGCCACACCCAGTTCCCCTCAAGGGCCACATGTGCCAAGTGCAGGAGATCCCCCATGGTGCTCAAGGACTGGGTTGTTTCCATGCTTTTTCCTGACCAGCAGTGCCAGGTATCACACTAGACCCTTAGTTCACGATACACAATATGCGATGGCTTGGTTTCTGGTGTGGCCACAGGACCTGTATGAGTTCCCCCTTGCTATATAACAAAAAGACCCCAAAACTTAGTAATGTTAAACAATAAGCACTTATTTATTATCTTATAGTTTCAGGTGACCAGGAATTTGGGAGCTGCTTGACAGGGTGGTTCTGGCTCAGGGTTTCTTAGGTGGTTGTGGTCAGGATGGGAGGGCCTGCAGTCACTGCAAGTCTCAACGGGCGGGAGTCAAGATGGTTCCTTCACAGGCCTTTGCACAATGGCCCCTCTACAGGCCCCCCCGAGTTCCTCATGACACAGCAACTACCCTCACCCACAGCAAGTGACCCCAGACACCAAGGAAGCTGCAGTGCCTTTTATGACCCTGTCTGCAAAGTCTCACACTGTCACTTCTTTTTTCTATTCATTAGAAAAATTCTATCATTAGTCATTAAGTCCAGCCCACACTCAAAGGGATGACAAGCTTCACCTCTTGAGGGAGTTATCAAAGGCTTTGTGATCGTGTATTGAAACCACCACGGTACCTGTGATTAGGAATCAGGCAGGAGCTAGAAGTGGTCTCACACCCATCAGGACTCAACTGTCTGTTGTCCCAACAGGACCTGCGTTACATCTTCATCCCCTCAGACATCCGTGACTATGTGATGCTGAGGTCAGCCATTCTCGGTGAGCCCGTCCCAGAGGGCCCTGATAAAGGGGACAGGTGAGCAGCCATGTGGGGACAGGGCATGGTTAACCACGATGCAGCCATCTCCCCCTTGCCCCTGGGCCCACCTCCAGGTGGAAAGGTGGCTGAAGGCAGTGAGAAAATTCCCAGGAATTCAACAGTGCACTAGGAAAACCCAGGTCACCCTACTGGTCCTCAGGATCCTGGCAGGGAGAACTATAGGCTTGAGGGGCCATTTTTTTTTTTTAATGGAGCAGGCAGGCCTGGCTCCTCAGCTCTGGGCTGCTGTCTCCATAACCAGCCCAGCCACCCAGCTGGGCTTGCTGTCCTGTTGACCCCACTGTGTCTGGACACCAATAGCAGGCGCCAGTATCCATGCCACTCGTCCTGGTGGGCACCCTCCCAGGCCTGTGGTTCACGAAATGAGAGAGCAGGTGACGTGGGCCCAAGTCCTGAGAAGTGGGAACAAAGGGCACTCTGTTTGTTCTTTCCCACCTTCCTGGGCAGCAGGCCTGTGTCCCGTGCTTTTGAACCACTGAACCTTCTCCCTGTGGTGCTGAGATAATTTCCTGTCCCTAAGATCTGGTCTGTAGCAGACCGCCACCCTGCAGCCAGCTCTCCTATCTCAGTGCTCCCAAGACTTCTCAACCACTCTGGAGAGAAGCCTCCGTGGTGGACCTCAGGGGTTCTTAAGGTCTCAGAGGCCACTGGCCCCACCCCTGCCTGTGATGACCCAACAATCGCTTAGGCTGCTGCAGGTGCTGCTGAGGGTGGGCTTTGTGATGCAGGCAGCGCTGGGCTCCTGAGGGGGTGGGCTCAGAAACACCACGCAGATAAGCCTTCCTGCCACCAATGAGCTCCCCCTCCATTTCCCCGATTCCATCCCCTACCCTGTCCCCTATACAGTCCCCTACCCAGTCCCGGTCTGGGTCTGTCGAGATCCAGCAGCCCCCCTCCAGCTCTGGTGGCTCGGCCCCTTCCCCCTCCCCGAGCCAGGGGCCCTCGTCCCCCACCCTCTCTCAGCACCCCACCCCAAATGCCTCACAGCCCTCTTCCCGGGCCTCCTCCCTGACCCCCAGCCCTCACATCCAGCATGTGCCTCAACGATCTGCCCAGGCCACTCCTCCCACCTCCAAATCGGGCTTAAAATTCGTTTCTCGAAACGCTTCCCAAACTCCCCCTGTGCCTCTCACCAAGTCACCCTCCTACATCGGACCTACTAGGGGCATCCCTTCCTACATCGCCCCATATGTGTCCCGCTTCCTGAAGGAGCCCCCCTTCTTCCAGCCCCCTACATCACCTCTCCCCCAGAGCCAGTGCTTCCCCTGCACCTCCCCCTGCCCAGCCCACCAGCGCCCAGTTCCCCCGGACTCTCTCTACTTTCCTCTCCTCACCTCTGTGCCACAAGGACAGGTAGGCTATGATGGGCATGCCCTGTCGTTGACAGTCGGTGCCCCTGTTCCTGAAACCCCGCGGTGAGGTCAGCCACAGGCTTCCCACGCCCTGGTGCAGTAGATGGAGAGGCATCAGGATGTGGGCTCACACGGTGACACCATCGAGGAGGAGCTGGGTGGGGGCGCCTCGCGACTTCAGGCAGCACGGGCCTCCTCTGGAGTGGCTAATGCTTACCAAAAGCTTACAGGGTGCCAGGCACTTCACATGTGCCACATCAGCCCCATTTTACTGGTGATACTAAGGGCAAAATTCACCATCAGATCCCACGGAGCTCACACCACACACAGGTGAAGGGTATTTATTGAGATGCCTGGTCGTCACAGCAGCCCATTCCCAGACGGCAGTGTGTCCAAGGCCACCACCCAGCTAGTCACCAAACCTAGGCCGCTCTGACTCAGGTTCTACAGTTGCTCCCATTTTTCCCCGCTGTCCGAGAGTGGTGATGTACTCGGCCCAAGGCCCCACAGCAGCCGTGCTGGAGGCTGGGCTTCACAGAGGCAACCGCAGGCCCATCACAGGTAGGGGCAGGGGAGCTGGAACCTGAGCCCATCCACTGCCTCCAGGCTCATCCGGCCACACCCAGTTCCCCTCAAGGGCCACATGTGCCAAGTGCAGGAGATCCCCCATGGTGCTCAAGGACTGGGTTGTTTCCATGCTTTTTCCTGACCAGCAGTGCCAGGTATCACACTAGACCCTTAGTTCACGATACACAATATGCGATGGCTTGGTTTCTGGTGTGGCCACAGGACCTGTATGAGTTCCCCCTTGCTATATAACAAAAAGACCCCAAAACTTAGTAATGTTAAACAATAAGCACTTATTTATTATCTTATAGTTTCAGGTGACCAGGAATTTGGGAGCTGCTTGACAGGGTGGTTCTGGCTCAGGGTTTCTTAGGTGGTTGTGGTCAGGATGGGAGGGCCTGCAGTCACTGCAAGTCTCAACGGGCGGGAGTCAAGATGGTTCCTTCACAGGCCTTTGCACAATGGCCCCTCTACAGGCCCCCCCGAGTTCCTCATGACACAGCAACTACCCTCACCCACAGCAAGTGACCCCAGACACCAAGGAAGCTGCAGTGCCTTTTATGACCCTGTCTGCAAAGTCTCACACTGTCACTTCTTTTTTCTATTCATTAGAAAAATTCTATCATTAGTCATTAAGTCCAGCCCACACTCAAAGGGATGACAAGCTTCACCTCTTGAGGGAGTTATCAAAGGCTTTGTGATCGTGTATTGAAACCACCACGGTACCTGTGATTAGGAATCAGGCAGGAGCTAGAAGTGGTCTCACACCCATCAGGACTCAACTGTCTGTTGTCCCAACAGGACCTGCGTTACATCTTCATCCCCTCAGACATCCGTGACTATGTGATGCTGAGGTCAGCCATTCTCGGTGAGCCCGTCCCAGAGGGCCCTGATAAAGGGGACAGGTGAGCAGCCATGTGGGGACAGGGCATGGTTAACCGCGATGCAGCCATCTCCCCCTTGCCCCTGGGCCCACCTCCAGGTGGAAAGGTGGCTGAAGGCAGTGAGAAAATTCCCAGGAATTCAACAGTGCACTAGGAAAACCCAGGTCACCCTACTGGTCCTCAGGATCCTGGCAGGGAGAACTATAGGCTTGAGGGGCCATTTTTTTTTTTAATGGAGCAGGCAGGCCTGGCTCCTCAGCTCTGGGCTGCTGTCTCCATAACCAGCCCAGCCACCCAGCTGGGCTTGCTGTCCTGTTGACCCCACTGTGTCTGGACACCAATAGCAGGCGCCAGTATCCATGCCACTCGTCCTGGTGGGCACCCTCCCAGGCCTGTGGTTCACGAAATGAGAGAGCAGGTGACGTGGGCCCAAGTCCTGAGAAGTGGGAACAAAGGGCACTCTGTTTGTTCTTTCCCACCTTCCTGGGCAGCAGGCCTGTGTCCCGTGCTTTTGAACCACTGAACCTTCTCCCTGTGGTGCTGAGATAATTTCCTGTCCCTAAGATCTGGTCTGTAGCAGACCGCCACCCTGCAGCCAGCTCTCCTATCTCAGTGCTCCCAAGACGTCTCAACCACTCTGGAGAGAAGCCTCCGTGGTGGACCTCAGGGGTTCTTAAGGTCTCAGAGGCCACTGGCCCCACCCCTGCCTGTGATGACCCAACAATCGCTTAGGCTGCTGCAGGTGCTGCTGAGGGTGGGCTTTGTGATGCAGGCAGCGCTGGGCTCCTGAGGGGGTGGGCTCAGAAACACCACGCAGATAAGCCTTCCTGCCACCAATGAGCTCCCCCTCCATTTCCCCGATTCCATCCCCTACCCTGTCCCCTATACAGTCCCCTACCCAGTCCCGGTCTGGGTCTGTCGAGATCCAGCAGCCCCCCTCCAGCTCTGGTGGCTCGGCCCCTTCCCCCTCCCCGAGCCAGGGGCCCTCGTCCCCCACCCTCTCTCAGCACCCCACCCCAAATGCCTCACAGCCCTCTTCCCGGGCCTCCTCCCTGACCCCCAGCCCTCACATCCAGCATGTGCCTCAACGATCTGCCCAGGCCACTCCTCCCACCTCCAAATCGGGCTTAAAATTCGTTTCTCGAAACGCTTCCCAAACTCCCCCTGTGCCTCTCACCAAGTCACCCTCCTACATCGGACCTACTAGGGGCATCCCTTCCTACATCGCCCCATATGTGTCCCGCTTCCTGAAGGAGCCCCCCTTCTTCCAGCCCCCTACATCACCTCTCCCCCAGAGCCAGTGCTTCCCCTGCACCTCCCCCTGCCCAGCCCACCAGCGCCCAGTTCCCCCGGACTCTCTCTACTTTCCTCTCCTCCCACCCCCTCCCCACCACCCCCAGGTCAACTGCTCCTACCCGACCCCTCCTGCTCTGTTCACGCCCCCCTCCTCGCTCACCTACACCCCACCCACCGAGGTCCTGGTGAGTGGGAAGCCGCATGTGGTCCCCACCTTGCTGCCTGCCACCTTCTACACCCCCTTCTCCCGCCACTATGCCCAGCCCCGTCCCTACCGGACGGCCCAGCACCGCCGCCCCAGGGCTTTCCCCCTCTCCTCGTTTCCTCCCGTACAACACGAAGGCACAGGCGGCTCTGTCCCCTCTGTTCACCTCTTCCGTGGGTCCTAGGCCTCAGACCTACTTTGGACCAGAAGCCTCTGCTAGTAAATTCAAGCTTCTACATCCAGACTTCATCAGCTACCTGACAGAGAGGTAAGTGGGAGGCCGGGAAGAATAGCTCCCTTTCTATACCCACCCACACCTACCCTACACATTGTAACCAATAGCAGAGCCAGCCTGTAGTGAGCACCATGTCTGGTGCCAGGCACCTTATGTTGCCTGATTTACTACTTTTAACCGGATGGAGGTGGTATTCCATTAGGGTTAACAGGCAAATGGACAGCAGGGGAGGAGAACTCAGGTTTAGTTACTGGGGGTATTTACCAAGGCATAGATTGTATATGGGGATATCACAAGGCATAGGTCTAACAGGCTGGTAGAAGCAGTGGTCATCATCTGTAGGCCCAATACAGCAGCCAAAGGTGGGCACAGGAGAAGCCTGGTCACACGTCCTTCCTACCCATGGTTCTCCACATGAGTGGGGAAGGGTTCATTTGTTCCTGTCTGGAGACATTTTGGTTGTCTCTAAGCAAGTCCAAGTGCACTAGTGGGCAGAGGCCAGGGATGCTTAAGTCTTACAATGCATGGGGACCACTCCCTAACACAGAGAATTACCTGGCCCACAACATCAGCAGCGCCACAGTTGAGAAGCCCTGCTGTACCTATCCCCACAAAGGCTAGCATCCCAAGAGAGCACAGGTGAAGAAGGGTGGCAAGTGGGCCTCGGAAAGCAAACTTGACACGGGACAGCTACAGCCCCTTTCAACAGAGGAAGGTACCAGGCTCAGAGGCCAGCTTAGATGTGAATCCTGGGCTGAGGACAGTACTGTGATCATACTGTGGCCTCACTTTTGGACTGTCTTCCAGTACATGTGCCCACGCACACACATGAACCATCTAGCCAGTGACTCCAGCCACAGGACCCAGGCACTCCTGCCCCTCACACACGATTCCTGCTTGGCCAAAGTCTGGTGACAGAAACTTTGGTCTCAGGCTAAATAAAACAGGCATTGTGGTAACACAGTAGCCCAGGGGCAAAGGCAGGGTGCTGCAGACAAGGTACGTTCACCTGGGTTGAGGCTTCCAGCAAGCAGAAGGGGGAAGATCTCCCCTGCGGCTCTGGATGGCCTGTTCCTTTTCACCCGATTCCCATTCCCTAAGGTATTATCATGTCAACCAAAGCTTCTTGCATTTAGTTTATTTGGGTTTTTCCCCTAAGTCAGAAATGGATTGGGGTAGAAGGTGGAAGTTTTTAAAGTTTTCCAACTTGTTTGAATTGGCAGTTTAAAGTGTAATGGCACAACCTTCAAGCTACTATTCAGGACCTCGCTGTCGAGTTTTAATGCTTCTTTTTGCTTCCAGGTTTTTGAAATCAAAGTTGATTAACACAAGTTTTCGAGACCTATATATGCCTAGCACTGGGGCCCTCATGCTGCTAACAGCTTTGCATACCTGTGATCAGGTAAGAGGTCTTTCTTCTCCCAAGCCCACAGGAGCAGAGTAGATGTGTGAATGCAACTTTGTGTGACTCATGATGCTGTCAGCCTCCAAACCTGGGACCTGGGCCTCTATCCTGTGGGGCAAGGATTCCCCAGTACAGAGCAGCCTGGTCAGTAAGGGGCTGGAGAGGGGGCCACTGCTGACCTTCCTCCCCACCTACTACCCAGGGTCCTGTGAGGTCAGCCACTGGGCCAGCCCTGCCCTTCCCCCAGCAGCCACCTGCCCCACGTCGCCTTACACCCCCATCCCCGTCTTCCCTCGGCAGCTACTCTATACAGTCTTTAAGGAGCACATCATCAAACTGCTCGTGAAAGCCAGTCCTCTCAGCACAAGCGGACAGGGGCATTCTCTTATGAGGATTTTCTAAATCGGAGGTGGGCAGCAACCACAATCAAAATCTTTGACATCACCACAGGACATGTGCCCAACGGGGTGCTGCCCGTGAGCTGCACGAAAGCAGAAGCTGAGAAGCAGTTTTAAAGGAAAGGCAGTGACCCAACACTAAAGTCAACACAAGAGCTGGAAGTCAAATGCCACCCATGACTCCGATGCTACACCTTTTCCCTATTTTAAAGTAGGAGTCCCCTGACCACAGCCACCGTGAGGATAGGAAACAGGAAGTAATGGGCTTTTGCTTCTATCTTGAGCTTAACAATGAAGGTTATGGCTTTGGAGTCACAGACCTGAGTTTAGAACCCCACCCAGCCACTTACTAGCTGTGACTAAGGGTATCTGGTTACCTCTCTGAGCATGTTTTCCCATTTGGTAAAATGGCGATAATACCTACCTAAGATTGCTGTAAGGCTGCGGTGAGGAAATGTGTACAAAGAGCACAGAGCTGATGTTGGCACAGGCTTCTTGTCTGTCCACCCCTTCACACAGGGCACGCAAGGAGGTGGGCATACCTTTTAAATTCATGGCACCTCACACGCATTTGTCTGCACATAGTACCTCAATAAATGCCAACTCATGATAAATACTATCTTCATCCAGGTTAGTGCCTATGGATTCATCACAGAGAACTACTGGAAATTCTCGGACCACTATTTTGAACGAGTAAAGCAGCCACTCATATTCTATGCAAACCACGATCTGCCCCTAGAAGCTACCCTGTGGAAGAACCTGCACAAGGCTGGCATTCTCCAGCTGTACCAGCGCTGACTCTGAAGCACCCAAGCCCTTTGCTCTGGCAGAACTGTGGCCCTCATCCCCTCAAACGGCCAAAGCTGCCTGTCAACCCTTAGGGGCTCCAACTCCCCTCAACCCACTCCTTCCCTCCAGATGACTAAGAGGGGGATTTGTGGCTGTCACTGAAGCCTGTCCATTGTGGGACACCCCATCTTCTCCATGGACCATTGAAGAAAATTCTCCTTCTGTGTTTAAGATAGATATCCCAACCTTGGTCAAGGAAAAATGGACTGCTCTGCTGGGTGTTTCAAAACTGAAGAAAACACTCCCTAGATGAGATCATGACCTGTACCAGCAAAGGGCAGGTATACTTCCAAGCTAAGTATCTCAAAGCCAGCAGCTGGAACCAAGGGACTTCAGAAGTCCATGGAGAGACTCAAGACCCTTTGGTTAACAGACATCAAGCAGCAGAACAGGCAGGCACACTCCGCAGCCAAAATCCTCCCACTACCACGTCCAGTACAAACTCCAAAGCTAATTCAACTCAAGGACACAACCCCTCATGTTCCCTCTGTGAACATGACCAACTTCTGCCCCACAAAGTGGGAGCACAGCAGACAGAAGGTAATTTGAAACTAAGTTAACTGCATAAATGACGGTGACCATTTTGTTTGCATTGGGGATAGTACACCACACAGGGTGGCTAGTGTGGCAGGAATGTTCCGGTATTTGATGGGTCAACTGCACAGAAGGATGCCTCTGAGGGAAGTCCTATCAGAGATGTATTAATACCTTGTCACCAAAAGGATGTCACCAGGTAGTGAACCCTCAGCCTCACACCATGGCTTCAATTTGGACTTAGGCAGTTTCATCTTTGACAAGATTATATAGACTCTATTAGAAAGAAGTCTCAACCAACCAACCAACCCAGTCATCCTCATACGGCCCATCAGCCTGGGATTCAGTGTTCCAAGTAGTGTGGACTGGGCCACACAGTCCCATGTGCTACATTATACAAGAGAAAGGTGGGTGTCTCCACAGGCTGGCTGGCAAGAGGCTTCCCAGGGGAGCATCTATTAAGGCTGGTCTATTCATCCAGGCCCAGGACCTGGCCTCTGGTTCTGTGGTTTAGAAGGCTGATCCTGTTCAACATGATTAACAAGAGGGACGAACTCTGTCACCAGAATCAAAGTACTGCTATAGAAATTTAGAGGCATGTGTTAAAAATGGACATTTGAAAAATGGACATTTGGCCTTTAATGGCTCAAGCAGTCACTTGAAACCATAGCCTTCTGCTGCCTGAGAGCAGGGTTTAGGCCAAGGGCTATGAGTGCATTCTTCAAGCCCTCTCAGTCACTCTACCTTGACAGCACCAAACTGTCCCTTGGTCTTGAGCTGTCCCAAGTTATGTTTCTCTGGATAGAATAACTGGTCTGGAGAGAACACTCAACACACGGTACTGTTCAACAATCGAAGCTAGTATCTTAAGTCATTTTTATTACCAATTGCCTTGGTAACCCAGCAGTGCTCTTAGGGTCATTGCCCTGACACATTTTTGTCTATAAAACTTCACTTTTATCTATCAAACAGAAAAGCCAGAAACACCTGACGGCATCCTGTGTAATTGTTAACCCCCATCATTATTCTCTGAAACTTTCACCTATGTAACAATGTGTTTAATCACAGACTAAAATGCTGTTTTTATGTAGGTCTCAATCTGAAATCCACCATGCTAGTATGTCAACTTTTTATTTTGATTTGTGCTTAAAAATTTAAGTCTAAGACAGTGACTTCACAGGAAATCCACTTTTTCTAGGCTGATCATCTGCTTCCCCTTTGTCTCCCCAGTGCATGTACATGTTAATTACAATACTGCGGTCCTGCCAATACATGAGTTATACCCCATTAACTGAATGAGGCTAGTTTCACCCTGATTTCACCAACGGCCAAAGACTGTTCAGGGATGAACTCACTATTGCTGACTATTCTGAAGTGTAAAGAACGCTTACATGACCCTCCTTTGCAGGTTTAGTTCATAGGCACTAGCAGTCAGCGGCAGAGGCTGTGCGGATCCCGTCTGGCATCACTGCAAGATAACCTGTAAAACCGAAGGAGAATCACTTGATCAAACAGCCAACTAAGTGACACTAGACTGAAGTCTAAATTTAAAGAATACACTAAAAGGACCATCATAGAGGCACACATTCTAACCTATCCTTAGGCCTGGGTGCTGAAGGCATAACGAGACAGTGCTCAGTGCAGGCTGGTGGGGTTCCCAGGTAACTCAGCCCCGCAGCTCCTCTTCAGGAGAAAGCGCTCTAAGGAAGAGTGTCTAAGTAGGAAAGACCAACCACGAAGCGCCAGGGGCTGCAATTATACTCAACGCCCCTCTGGGTATAAAACGTTTGAAGTCAAACCTAAAGGTCCACTGGGGTCCCCACAACAGTCAAGTCTACTCAGAAGCAAACCACCACCCATGAGGCAGATTCCCACCCCACCCCCCACTTTCACTTTCACTTTTAGGCTGTAAACTGCAAGGGTCCATTTTCAGGCTCATAAATCTCATCCCAAATATAGCTTTCTTGGTAACCAAACAAATATGTGACCTTAAACATAAACAGCCCACACATACCTCCCAATTTCAACAAAAAAGGCAGTCTGCCCAATTCAAACCCAGCATTCAAATAGGAACAAAGCCAGACACCCTCTGTGCCCACAACCACTTTGCTACTTTCTTGCTCACATGCCAGCCAGCCCTCTGCTGCCCAAGGAACAGCCCCACGCCAGTCATGCCATTCAGACAGGATCTGAGCCAACCCCAGAGGAACTCCCTGGTGTGACCCCCCCTTTCCTGAAGGGCACTATGTGGTATAGAGGCAAAAGGCCAGAATTAAGCATTCTCAATTCTACAGCTGGCATACATTTTACATTCCCGACTGTTTCAAAGAGTGCATTCATTTCCTTGAAATATGTGACAAGCACTCTTTCTTTCTAGAGTAAGAGCATAAACCAAATAGGGGTTACTTTCCCATTTCTACCACCTCTTACAGCCTGTACCCTCAGAGCCATTAATCAAGGGGCCCAGAACATGCAGGGGCCGCTACACCACTGGGTTCCAAGTTGCAGAGGGGTGCACTAGACTGGGTCTCAGCAGGGGCCCTTTGGAAGCTATTTAGTTTACTTCTTCCCTCATGAGATCTCTCAGTCTTGACTTTGACAGTATGCTTTCCCTAAAAGGCAAAACTGCTTACATCTAGTGCCTAGGTGTTCCCTTAGGCTGATCATCTGCTTCCCCTTTGTCTCCCCAGTGCATGTACATGTTAATTACAATACTGCGGTCCTGCCAATACATGAGTTATACCCCATTAACTGAATGAGGCTAGTTTCACCCTGATTTCACCAACAGCCAAAGACTGTTCAGGGATGAACTCACTATTGCTGACTATTCTGAAGTGTAAAGAACGCTTACATGACCCTCCTTTGCAGGTTTAGTTCATAGGCACTAGCAGTCAGCGGCAGAGGCTGTGCGGATCCCGTCTGGCATCACTGCAAGATAACCTGTAAAACCGAAGGAGAATCACTTGATCAAACAGCCAACTAAGTGACACTAGACTGAAGTCTAAATTTAAAGAATACACTAAAAGGACCATCATAGAGGCACACATTCTAACCTATCCTTAGGCCTGGGTGCTGAAGGCATAACGAGACAGTGCTCAGTGCAGGCTGGTGGGGTTCCCAGGTAACTCAGCCCCGCAGCTCCTCTTCAGGAGAAAGCGCTCTAAGGAAGAGTGTCTAAGTAGGAAAGACCAACCACGAAGCGCCAGGGGCTGCAATTATACTCAACGCCCCTCTGGGTATAAAACGTTTGAAGTCAAACCTAAAGGTCCACTGGGGTCCCCACAACAGTCAAGTCTACTCAGAAGCAAACCACCACCCATGAGGCAGATTCCCACCCCACCCCCCACTTTCACTTTCACTTTTAGGCTGTAAACTGCAAGGGTCCATTTTCAGGCTCATAAATCTCATCCCAAATATAGCTTTCTTGGTAACCAAACAAATATGTGACCTTAAACATAAACAGCCCACACATACCTCCCAATTTCAACAAAAAAGGCAGTCTGCCCAATTCAAACCCAGCATTCAAATAGGAACAAAGCCAGACACCCTCTGTGCCCACAACCACTTTGCTACTTTCTTGCTCACATGCCAGCCAGCCCTCTGCTGCCCAAGGAACAGCCCCACGCCAGTCATGCCATTCAGACAGGATCTGAGCCAACCCCAGAGGAACTCCCTGGTGTGACCCCCCCTTTCCTGAAGGGCACTATGTGGTATAGAGGCAAAAGGCCAGAATTAAGCATTCTCAATTCTACAGCTGGCATACATTTTACATTCCCGACTGTTTCAAAGAGTGCATTCATTTCCTTGAAATATGTGACAAGCACTCTTTCTTTCTAGAGTAAGAGCATAAACCAAATAGGGGTTACTTTCCCATTTCTACCACCTCTTACAGCCTGTACCCTCAGAGCCATTAATCAAGGGGCCCAGAACATGCAGGGGCCGCTACACCACTGGGTTCCAAGTTGCAGAGGGGTGCACTAGACTGGGTCTCAGCAGGGGCCCTTTGGAAGCTATTTAGTTTACTTCTTCCCTCATGAGATCTCTCAGTCTTGACTTTGACAGTATGCTTTCCCTAAAAGGCAAAACTGCTTACATCTAGTGCCTAGGTGTTCCCAATGTCGTAGGCCTGACACAATGACAGTTTCTGCCATTTTAAAGACAGGGTCTATCCCAGCACAAAGTGTCTGAAAGCCGAGTATGGCATAGCTATTCTAGTCAGTGAAACGCTCAGACAGTGCCGACCATTCCCTTCAGCCAGCCTACTGAAGGCCAGCAGCACGATGGGTATGCACTGCCAATTTAATCTTTATAAAACCTGACCTTTTAAAAGCACAGGGTCAAACCCTTAAGCCTCAGAATAGATTGTTTTTCCTCAGTTGAGATTTTCAGACAGGGATAACTAACCATCCATCATAGGCTTATGGGGCGCCTCAGGGACATTTATGATGGAAACAAAGCTCACAAACAGGAGAATTATTTCACTTGTTTCAGACAAAGCAGTTCAACTCTGTCTCACACACTACAAACATCTACCAAAGCAAACAAACCTTAGCATAACCCCAAGTCCAAGGCAGGGGAAGCAAAACAAATAGCCCACTCAGGCCTGCTCCCAACGTCTACTGCTTTCATGCATGAGAAAAACTCCACTTTAGGTCCCAGGTAGCTGCTATGGCGCCACCACTAGTGTCTTCTTCTGGAGGAGCCTTTCTCGGGGGCTGAGACAGCAGCTGGCAAAGAGAGATTGGGAAAAATAGAAGTACTCAAGACATACATAGGTAACTCTCAAGTAGCTCTCTCTTAAAATCAGGTCTGAATTTACCATGAAGCAAACTTGGGGAACTGAGTTTCAGACATCCATAATCCACACAAAGGCCTTTCTTTGCCTTCAGACAGGGATAACTGCATCATCACAGACTCAGCTCCCACTACCAGCCAGCCCAGACCACTAACATTTACTTACAGCACACACAAACTTTCTTACCAAATCCTGCTTTACTTCCCTCATGGGATCTCTTATCTTGACCTTGAGAATATGCTTTCCCTAAAAGGCAAAACTGCTTACATCTAGTGCCTAGGTGTTCCCAGTGTCACTGGCCTGACACAGTGACAGTTCCTGCCACACTAAAGACAGGGTCTGTCCCGGCACAAAGCGTCTGATAGCCGAGTATGGCACAGATATTCTAGTCGGTAAGATGCTCAGTGCCAACCATTCCCTTCAGCCAGCCTACTGACGGCCAGCAGCACGAAGGGGATGCATTGCCAAGAGCAACACCACAACGAGGCTGTTTCCCCTCCACTCACCTACTTATAAAACAATCTGCAGAGCAGGCATGTGGCTTTTTTTTTAAATAGGGGGTTACCTATCTGCCCTGAGCACTACTTAAAAACAGTACTGTAATCCTGCTGCAATAAAAAATCCCTGAACTAAAAGTAGATCAGAT